TATTAATTTAATAATAATTATAGAATGAATACCTTGTTGTATCCCCTTCAAGTGTCTAAGTATCATTTATTTTGAAAATGTAAGGAGCAATTTTTTCACCTTGTTCTTTCTTCAAATACTTCTAATGGTGCTGTAATTTTTGGGTTCCGTAGTAGACCTAATGTAAATTAGCTTCATATTAACTATTTTTATATAGGAGTAATACTGTATATCACTGAATATTAAGATAACAAACAAATGGAGATTTTTAATAATTACATTACAAATTTTGATCCCTGAAATTCTGGTAATACCAATGTTCACTTTATCCGGTTTTGCCCCATATATTAATATATATATTTTTTCGTAAGTAATCAATAAACAATGCTATTTACTAACAATTTTACATTCTTCAAACTAAAAAAATACCAAAACGAAGTAAACAAGCTGCACATTTAATTAATGCTAGAAATGTTAAAAAAACAAAGTCAGATGATGAATTGAATAAAAATGCATCAAGTGAAGAAGAAATTGATTATAATGATTTCGTTTTATGAGACTGACGATTCTGGTGATGAATAGTTTAATGAAAGCATGTTCGAATTATTCGTTTTATTCGTTTTATATATTTGTTTTATTCGTTTATTCGAGTAAAAATTTATTTGAATACTCAAATTCACAACGAATACGATAAAATAATCGAGTCATGTGATATTACAATCCCGTGACACAAAAGAGTATTATTTGGGATTTGAAGCTTTGGCAGTGCGACACAGCATTTGATGTCTTTTAGATGGCGCACTATAGTACTGATCTATTAATGACATAGAAACTTCATGTGAGCGCTGTATGCATTACCAGCGGCATTAGAAAAAAAAATACTAATACTAACGCTCTTTTACTATGTAGAAGAGGTTCCATATTTTTATTATAAATTATTTTAATTGAAATAATCGAATTTCAATTAATACAAAAATCAGAAAACACGAAAATTTTGCATATATATATACATATTCTACAGGACCTTGGTTATAAGCTATATATACTGTGAGATTGTAAATAAGGACTGAAGAAGTCCCGAGCATGTCGATCAATCGGAACCAACTTACTGCGGCAGCCA